TACAAAGTAGGACGGGGAGATTGAGACGTATGTTCCAAAGGCTTGGTGTAACATTCAGTGAAATATGGTGCACTGACCATTTTCTCAGACACACTTGTCTGGAGTAGTATGAGATGGATTGTGGGTGGTCACCCTCTTTGGTCACTGTCATTGTTTCCTTATGGCTAGATTTTTAACCAAGCCTGCTTACCTTCAATAAAAGGCCCTCGATTGAACTCTCTCGCAGACCCAAAATGATTTATGTCACCAATCAGTAAGCAGTATTGCATTCAGCCTGGTTTAGATGTCTTTGAATAAGACAATAATGGATGAGAGGGTGTGTGTTTATTGGAGATTTTAGCCCATACGGGAATATTTTGGCATGAACTGAAAGCGATAACAAAGCTACTGAAATTTAGACAATGATACATGTTCGAGTTGGCTATTTTCCATTAGTTTGTCAGTATATATATATATATAAAACCCTGTTCATTTCAAAATTGTATTTTATAATTTGCAGACTGACTGTTCTTGTATTATGTGACTCGATGCCACCACACTGAGTTGAGGCTGTCTACAGACTAGTCGAAGGGAAGGCAAAGTCAATAAATATCTTCAGGTTTAGACATCAATGTAACAATACTTATCATACATTAATACGAAACACTGCTTTACATGATAATCATGGATAGACCAGTCTCTGTTATATTGTTACATTATGTAAGGACTAAACTACTTTTTTTGTATGTGCATGCTCATGTTGTAGATCAGTCAGGCATTCTTTCAAAGTGTAACTTCCAGTGTTTTCTAACTTCACGCTCATTGTGGTATTTAGTCTCAGTGATGTGCATCTCGATGATATCGTCACAAAGTTATTCCAAGGTCCTCATGTTCTTGCACAATGACTGAGATTCTCCCATGATTTACTGGTCAGTGAATTTCTAGGACTTTGAAAAGTGATGTAACTAGTTTTCAAAAGTTACATTAGATAGTCACTGGTTGAGAGAGTGTACCCAGGTCACTGGATTCTAGGTTTTTTTCTCTCTGACCATGTCATTCAGGAGAACGAGAAACAAGGTAAACTGAGTTGGTGTTGTACTACTTCCAGGAAGTGCAAGGCATTTAATTTATGTTGCCCAAATCGCATCTGCAGGATATCCCAAAATATATCACAACCAATAAATTCCTCCTTGTCAATCTTGTCCTATTTTGTGAACCAATGAAACAACCGTTTGTATTCGGAAAGAATCCCCCAACATTAACGGATACCTCAGACAAATCTACCCTGTCAAGCTCCCTAAAAAAGTTGTTGTCTCAATAAGGTCTCCTCTCATCCTTCTAAACTCCATTGAGTACAGGCCCAACCTACCCAAATTGTCCTCATAAGAAAATCCTTCAATATTTGAGATAAATCTCGTGAACCTTCTCTGAATTGTCTCTAATGCCAGGATATCTATCTTTAGGCTAGGGGATCAAAACCGCCCGAAGTATTCTAGGTGTAGTCTGACTAGTCCCTAGTATCGTTTGAGTTAGACTTCCCTGTTTTTATAATCAATTCTCTTTGAAATTAATGGAAACATTCCATTTGCCTTCTTTATTACCCACTGAATTTAGATGCAAGGTTTTTGTGATTCATGGATAAAGACTCTCAAATCCTTCTTCCGGAGCTTTCTGCAGTCGTTCCCCATTTGAATAACGTTCAGCTCCTCTTCATTCCTGCCAAAGCGCACAAACTCTCATTTTCCCAAATTATATTCCATCTGCCAAAATTTTGCCCACTCACTTAACCTGCTTACATCTCTCTGCAGATTCTTGGTGTCATCCTTACCACTTGTCTTAGCATCTATTTTTAGTGTCATCCAGAAACTTGGCTATAGTAAAGTCACCTCCTCATCGAGCCATTAATGTTTACTGTAAGTAATTTCAGCCCCTGGCAGTGGCCCCAGTGGCACTCCACCATTTACAGGTTGGCATCCTCAAAATGCCTCCTTCATGCCAACCTGTGTCTTCTATTAGTTAGCTAATGTTCTGTCCATGTTAGTATACTACTGCCATTGGCTCTCATTAGGTAGCCTTAAGTACTGTTCCTTATCAATCATCTTTTGGAAATCTGCATACATCAGGTTTGTCAATCGCTCTACTTTAGCTTCAACAATAATCAACTTCTGTTTCTGGATGTTAAAGTAGAGCGATTGACAAATGGGGAGTTCCAAACCTATGTATACAGAAAAGCAACCCATACGGATCAAATCCTCAACTTCCACAGCAACCTCCCCAACGTCCACAAAGCTGCATTAGGACACTATTTAAACAGGCCAGGACACACTGCCACACTCCAGAACTATGGTGGGAAGAGGAAGAACACTTATACAAGATCCTCGCTTTAAACGGATATCCCCACAGCTTCATCCACAGATGTCTACAAAACAGGCAACAGGAGGTCACAGTACACCCTAACACACTGGCCACACTGCCCTACATCAAGAACATATCGGAACTGACAACAATACTCCTCAGACCACGAGGAATCACGGTGGCCCACAAGTCCACAGCCACTCTACGACAAACACTTACAAGGATCAAAGACCCCATTCCCACAACATGCAGAACCAACATGGTTTACAAACCACCATGCAACGACTGCCACAAACATTACATCAGACAGAAAAAAAGGAAACTAGCCATCAGAATACACGAACATCAACTAGAAGTAAAACAGCACGACAAACTCTCCTTAATATCGGTACATTCAGACAATGAAGGCCATTAGTTTAACAGGGACAAAGTACCATAGTAGCCCAAGCCAAACGTAGACGCACATGGGAATTCCAAGAGGCATGGTTCTCCACCCATACTTCAATCAACAAACATATAGAATTGGACCCCACATACAAACCCATACAGAACAAAACCTGAAATGACACTACTCACCATAACGGACCGGACAGTATAAATTACAAGCAGAGTAGACTAACATCGCTTCAATGGAGGCTCCACTGATGATGTCATCTATCATGGTGACAAAACGTCTGAACGAGAACAAGCCAGCTCGGCGAGCAAGTCAACAACTTCCCCGACAACCCGAGCTACAGATCTTTGCCAAAACTTTATCCATATACATCACAACTACAGCATCCCCTTTATCTATCCTGCTTGTTAATGTCTCAAAGAATTCTAACAGATTTTTCTCCCGCCCTTTTTGAATAACAGTTTTACAACTTCAGTTTCTCAATCCTCTGGGACTTTTGCAGAAACTAAGGATTCTCACAAGATTAAGAGATAACAAGGTGTAGAGCTGGATGAGCACAGCAGGCCAAGCAGCATCAGAGGAGCAGGAAGGCTGAC